AGGCGGGTCAACCTGGACTCACTGGGCGAGAGCATCAGCCGCCTGACGGCGCCCTCGGTGAGCAGGGGGCAGAAGGGTCCGCGCTTCCGGGGAGAGAATCAGGATCGGGAAAGTTGGTGCCGGGAGAGCCGGGGCGTGCGCAGAGCCCCACCGCTGGGGGGCGGCGCGGCCTCGCCCCATCCGGCCTAAGGTTGCTGGCGAGACTGGCACCCCTAGACTGTGACCGAAGGGGAGTTAGAGAACCAGAAAAGGAGTAGGACTTCACTTTTTGGGGTCTCTTGATTCCAGGGCCTGCCTGCCCACCTCCAGCCTTAAGCTCTCGGTCGCTGTCAACCCTTTTGGCTCCTGGTGCATCTTTACACCCACCTGTTTTCTTTCTCTCAAACTTTCTCAGTCTTTCTTCCACAGTTTCTATTTACATATCTTTCATCTCTCTTCTCCAACATCCCAAAGGAGTCCCAGCCCCTTCCGGGAAATTCTTCCTCTCTTTTTTTCCCACACTCTCTTGATGTTAGCATGACCTTCTCTGGCATCTCTGAATCCCACAAGCTATATGCATTCTGTGTGGCATTTCTTCTCTCAAATCTTCAGGAACTCTGTAGATACTTTTCTGAGTTGCCTTCTGGTGGGGGGAAAAAAACCCTCTAATCTCTCTTTTTCTTTCCACCCCATGGCTTTTTGTTTTATTCACCTGGCATATATATTGGCTAAATCTTCTTCTTTGCTTTTCTAAGTCCTTCTGCTACTTCTTGCACCCCTACCTCATCCTTCCTGCTCTCTTCCCTCATTTTTTCATGCCTTTCTTATACAAGACCTTTTACAAATATTTGTTGAATGAATACATGCCTTCCTAAACCTCTTGAAATTTGTGCTCATTGCAGGATGTCTGTATCAGCAATTCCAGGTGAACACCATATTCACCCTGGTTCTAGGCATCCTTCCAGAACACTCCTGCCTCATTCCTGCTCAGATATTTTCAGCTGCCTTTGACTTTTATGGCTTGTAGGATGCCAGACCTCTGTTCCAGTCTTTCCCTGTCTGGGCTGCTCTATTTTAAAGGGATCCACTCCAATGTAGACAGAATCAGAAAAAGGGAATGTGCCTGCCTGTACCCTTCTTTTTCTGTGTTCAATGCCAAACGTTCATCCTCCACTTATCTTGACCCTGACCTTGATGAATGCAAGGACTTTAACTCCTGACAGCACTCCTACCTGCCTACTTCCATACATTTACTTCCGCAAAGTTACCAAAATGAATCTGAACATTGATATTATTTGACCACTCTTGTGTTTTTCCTTTGAAACTACTCTTGGAAATGGTAGGGGGGATGGAGGAGAAGTGCCACCCTGAAGGATTCTTTCTGTACCAGGCAGTTCTAAAGTATCCTTGTGGCCCTTGCATTAATGGAGAATGATCTTTTGTTGACTAGTGAAACTAGTTTTTGGGTCATTACCTCTTCTTGTATGTTCTTCCCTTCCATCCACTTCCTTCATTGATAACCTAGGAAACAAACCTTAGGATGCATTGACTGTTGTTTGCCATTCTTCACTGCAAGTATTGCACAGGCAGCATAATCTTAGGAGCTATTCAGTGTTGCAAATTGTTGAATACATATCTTTGTGCAGCTGTAGTTTTGTGTCAGTACCTAAAGCAGTATTTGTGCAATTCTATACTCATTTTTCAGTACATATGGTTCAAATTAGGTCCAGTAATTATACTAAAGATAATAATCAGGTAGTTTTGGATTTTTTAAAAAATAATTTTGAAGTTTCCTTCTTGCCTAAGAATCAGAATTTAGGAATTTGTAGTAAGCAATGGTGATGCCTCTGGTCATGTCACTTTAACTTATGACTATTTTCAATAACTTACATGAAGAGTAGAGCAAATGAGCCACACTCAAGTATTTACTGCAGAACACCAAAAACAAAGCAAAACAAAACCCAGAAACAACAATAACAACAACAACAACAAAAAATTGCTTTCAAGTAACTTTCAGCTCACAGAGATGCTGTAGGACAGAGTAGAACTGCCCTGTACAGTTTGCAACACTGTAATCTTTATGAGAGCAGACTGTCACCATCTTTCTCCCATGGAAGGGCTAGTGGGTTTGGACTGCATATCTTTTGGTTAGCAGCTGAATGCTTAACTGTTGCACAACCAGCTCTCCTTTACTGAAGAAAAAGAGGGAGGAAATAATCTCATTATGATACATTTTCAATAATATTTGAATGACGGTCTTTTTTCTGGATCAAAACATGTAGCAGTTAATAATTTCCAGAATAAAAATTTTCAAAGTAATTGCAATAATCAAATACATGCAATAGCTAACAGGTACTTTACACATTCCATTTTTTCTCTATTTTGAAAAGAGTCTGTCAGATTTTGGTCTGATGGATCCCTTTTATAAGATCTTTGTTGCCATAGTCTTGCAATTTGCACCAAATGACTGAGGTTATGTAAATTATGTGCTTGTGCCCACCAAGGGGATTGGATAGCTTGTTAATAATGCAAATAAGGTGCATGACACCCTTGTAGGGGTGAGACCATCAAGTAGATGTATGAAATTCTAATGAGGGGATTAGTTAGTTTTGCCATCCTGCTAGGCTTAAAACAAGCCATCCAGGAAATAGTCAGGGGAGGACTTCACTACCACCAAGAAGAAGAAATGAGAGAGGAACACATCCTTTGGATCTAGGGTCCCTGTGCTGAGAACATCCTATAAACAGGAGACAGATAGAGAGCTGGAGCACTGGAGATGGCACAAAATGACAAAAAGCAGTGGCAGAGAAATGGCAATAGCAGAACCAGGAGACTGGTTCACTGTGAGATGACACAGTGAGCTTCTCGGTCCATATAACAAAGCAGTTATAGTGGATACTACTTCCTACTACAGAGTGAGAGAGCTGAGCACCTTCAAACAAGACACTTCCTGGTGGAATGTGGTGCCCTCTGGCACTTACTGATAGAGCTAAAGAGCTTTGTAACACTTGCCCAAGCAGGGCAGAGGCTGGGCTGAGGGGCCAAGGGCCACAGAGAGATCTGATAAGAAGAGGCTGTCCTGATTGAAGAACTGTATCCTGACTTATTTCTAATTTGTAATTGTAACCTCTTACTTCCGTAATAAACCCCATAACTGTGAGTATGGTCTGTGAGTTCTGTGTGGCCTCTGCAAAAAATGATCAAACTCAACCGAGAAGTACAGAGTGCCATGGGAGAGATGGCTAGTGTCAGAATTGGTAAAAAGACATTGGTAAAAATGTCTGATCTCCACCTCATAGGAATCAACCTTGGGCAGAACGTTGGTGGTGATTTACTCTCCCCCTCCTGAAGTTAGAGAGCAGACACCACTGACATGCCATTTTTACACAGGTGAAATGCTGGGAACATACAGGTGAATATAGTAAAAACATTTTCAGCATAACAGTTTATGTCTAAATAGATTCTCATGGCTAATCATGTCACTACTAGGCTTAGTGACACAAAGAAAACAGAGAGATTTCAAAGCTCTTTTCTTCTCTGTGCCTCCCCCTACCCCATTTTCCTTTATTTGTCAAACTAGAAGGAACACTGCCTCAAAAAGTTCCAGTAGCTTCATTTTTCTACATTGTCAGGATGCTAAATCTCTGAGTGTACCTGTAGCAAAAGATAATGTCCTGTTTAATTCTCTCTCATTGTAGAGCTGGACCTTTTTTTTTTTTTTCCTCCCTTTAACTTTCTAAACAACCATTACCAAAGTGTTCTTAGATGTGAACTTTTTGTTCTGAGTGTTGTGAGCTTCCTTGCACTCTGTCACAATACACTTGAGGAGAAGTTGTAGTTGTTATGAAAGCTCCTGTCTTCCTAATGGTCCCATCGTGGGTTGTCTCAATAACTTAAGATTTGTTCTTTATTTAGAATAATTTATAAGTAGGAAAGTAGAAATATATTTAGTAAATAATAGTATGTTGCCAAGTAATTAATTTAGTTATGTGACCCATGAAATAAATAAACTCGAAAGGAGAAAGATGTGGGTATCTGCTTCTGTGAAAATTATATAGCCTTGGGAACTTTATGGGGAGTTTTATGCTGAAGAATATTGAGTATACCATGGACTTCCACAAGAACAAACAAGTCTGTCAAGGAAGAAGTACAGCCAGAGTGCTCCTTGGAAATGATGATGATGAGACTTCAAATATGAAATATTTGTATTCAAATACACAGTGCCATAATAACAGTACTTTGTACATGTTATCAGGAAGGACCAGTCCCTGGAGAAGAAGATCATCAGTGAAAGAGAGTGAAGACCTTTAGTGAGATGGATTGACACAGTGGCTGCAGTCATGGGCTCTAGCATAACAACAACTGTGAGGATGGCACAGAGACTGAGTGGTGTTTTGTTCTGTTGTACATGGGGTCACCATGAGTGGACTCAATGGCACCTAAGAACAATGGAGGGTAGCTATGAATCAGAATCACTTGATGGCACACAAGAATAATGGTCATTATTTTAGATGCATTGGTCAGTTATAAAGATTCTAATATTTTATATCATTTTGATAATAAAAGTAAATTAGTGAAAGTGAACCAATGTCAGAATTCTGGAGAACTATTTCTAATTCTGTCTTGGACATTGAATACTTGTATATCTTTGGGCACATTGCTTTAACTCTCTGAGATCCTTCTCATTTGTAAGGTGAGAATGTTGAGTGTCATAAACTTGGGTACCTCTCTATTCTGAGATTATATGAAACTTGGCACAGTTTTGATGAACTGTCATAATGGCAATTGAAAGAAAAAACAAGGTATGTAAGAGTTTTAAAACTTTTGAGGAAGGGAAGTAACTTTGTAAAATGGTGGCATCAAAAATACTGCTTAACCCACCTAAGTATTTATTGAAAAACGATTGAGAATCTACTATGTGGCAAATACTGTGCAAAGCACTGACAATATAAATGCTGAACGAAACAACCAGTCTTTGATCTCATGTAACTTCTTTAACTGTAGTATTTATTTTAAAGAAATTCTATTTAGGGAAAACATAATAACCCCAATTTTCTTGGAGCTGTCTAGGAGAAGTT